AATTGCATAAAGTGAACTTTATCAAAGTAGCATTGTTAACTTTTTGCCATTTTTGGATTAAACCCTTGTACAAAGCTTTAAAGATCAAAACAATGCTATTAACCAATATATTTGCATTTAATTTATGAGTGTGGAAAGGATTAGAACCCGTAAACCAAGTACAAGCATGATCCAAACTGGTTTGCAACTTGTAGCAATGTGAAAAATGCCATGGACAAAAGTGATAATTTGCCATTTTCAAACTTTCGATTCTCCCTAACCACAAATGATCTTGGAGAGTTATTGGACATTTTGGAAATCTTGTAACATGATATACAATCCATCTTTGAAATGAATTTTGAGATTCCACTTGGAACTAGGTGAAAAGTTTCCATGAAGATAGGTCAAAATCCTGCCTAAACTAGAGCAAAATTTCACTAAGTTAAAAAGTTTCATGGACCCTTATTCATAAAATCATAACTTGAGATCCAAGCATCTTTTGGGAAAACTTTGTGAATCAAAGTTGTATATTTTGTGGAGGACTACAACTTTCATGTTTAAATTTTTGTTTGAATCCAATTGCATCATGGTGAAAAAGTTGGGAAAAGTTGGGGAAAAAAAAGAAATTTTCATAACTTAGAAAAATTCCAAGTTATGAAATTTTTCAAACTTAAACCCTAATTTTCAAAATTAGGTTTCTTGGTGAACAAGTTTCATGTTTTGACACATCTTGATGAAAAATGACCCTTGGCACTTGATTTTGACCAAAAAGTCAAAGTTTGATTTTTGATCAGTTGACTGGAAAATTCATCTGTCAATCCAATGCATTTGAGATCTTTTGAACCTTATGATTAGGTCAAGATGATGCTATTGAGTCCTTGAAACCATGCTTGAACCCAATTTGCCATTGGCTAGGTGAAAAATCAGAAATTTCCCTTCTATAGTCAAAACCCTAAAAATGACCATTTTGCCCTTTTGATGGTCTGATCAAATTTCTTGAGGAGTTGTTGTACAAACTTGATCAAATGGTTCATATGAGTCTATAATGTTGATGTGGATAAAAAATTATGAGGTTTTGACTGTAAATTGGCCACATTTGACTTTTTCCCCAATACAGCTGATTTTTAGGTCAACTGTCCAATTGACTGGGCAAAAATGTGATTCAAAGCTTGAAACTTGGTATGAGAAATCTTAGAGGTCCAACATGAAGTATGAAAGTCACATGAGGCATTAAAAGTCCAAAAATCCCTGTGCAAACTCAAACCCTAATTTCAGGTCAACAGTGCAAGAAAATGTCTTGAGCTGAGCAAAACCTAATCTGATCTGGAGTCCAAGAAGTCTTGTGAGGAGAATCTTGATAAAATGAGAGGGATAATTTTGGGGTACAACAGTTTTCTTTGAGAAGGGATGGAAATAGGATTTTGAATTTTCCCTATTCTTGACAAAATTTGAGATTTTGTGGGAGTGTTGTTTGAGCAGCTTTTTTTGTGTCATGAGCATCTGAATGTATTATGCTTATATAGAGGATGAAATTAGGTCAATAAAATTCAGAAGAATCTTGTGAAATTATGTTGTGAATATTTGATTGAAAATTATATGAAAACTTATTAATTTTGGCCAAGATTTGATTCCAAATTATCCCACACACCTCCTTGGTCTTCAAGTCAGATCTTTGGGCTCTTGTTTTGATCCAAAACCTCACTTACATGCCTATTACCATTTAATTGATATTTTATTTTATTTGTTTTGCATTTAATTGAATAAAATCAAGATAAATAAGGATAAAAATCATGGTAAGGTAAGAATGGATTTAGAGGTCTTCTATAATGTCATGAACATGTTTAGACCTTAAAAGATAGGTCCACTAATTTAAAATTTCAAGTTTGTTCAATTTGGACTTCATTCATTTCCTCAAAATTTTCCAACTTGTACAACTCATAACTTGCTCAATTTTTGTCATATGAAGGTGATCTGGGACTTTTTGGAAAACTCAAGATGTCTCCTATAACTCTCTTGCTGGTCATTTTCACATTTGAAGATTTTAACTTGATGTAAATTGCTTTGATAAAAAGTGTCTTTTTTTTTACTTTTAAAATGACTTGTAATGTTTTGGCTCATATCTCTCAAATGAAGCATTTTTTGACCTTGAGCTTAAAGAGACAAAGTTGTAGAAAACTGAATTTCCATAAAAATGGGTTTTGGTTGAGAATTTTCTGATGAAGCATGTGAAAGTTATGCTTGGTCAAAGGTAAGTTGACTTCTCCTAAAGAAAACCCTAATTTAGTAACTTTTGACTTTTGATGAATCTTGAGTTTTCTTGATGAATCATGATCAAACCTTAATCAAATGATGAATGTGAGTTCTAAATATTATTGTTGACCAAAAATCTTGAAGTTTGACTGTATGTTGACCACAATTGACTTTTTATCCAATATAGTTGATTTTCACTCATTTGAGCAATTAACTAAGCAAATTTGTGATGTAAGACTTGAAAATTGACATGAAGATTCTTTGAAGCATATGAGGAACCATGAAACTCACTTGAGGCATTAGAAGCTCAATTTTCCTTGAGAAAACCAAAACCCTAATTGTGGGCCACTGCTTAGGAGAAGGGTTTGTGTGGTCAATCCTTGAGTAGTCTTGAGCACTTGAGAACCTTAGAAGCATGAGAAGATATCTTGAACCAACTTGTCTTAAAAAATGGGAGGGAAAATTTTGGGGTACAACACTCATCTAGACCTTTGAACTTCAAATTAAGAATTGGCTATGATCACTTTGGGAATTTCATTTGATACATTGAGTTTCATTTGATATGTTGGATTTCACCTTATACTTTTAAAGTTCATCTACTTGTGTGATTATTCATATGATGCTTTTAAAATTTATCTGCTTGTGTGATTATTCATATGATGCTTGACTTGTGGCTTAAATCCAAAAGGGAAATGAATGATTCATCTTGACCAATGTCAAATACTTGCTCTTCTTGTGGTTAGTTTACTTCCACGGACAAAGAATTTCTCTTGTGTTACCTTACAATGAGGTCATTTATTTCTTGTCATTTAATTTGTGCTTTATGATAGTTTCTTCATCTCCTACCCTTCTTTAATTTTCAAAATTTTCTCCCTATTTCAAAAACTTCTTGTTTTCAAAACATCATCTTTTTCTTAACCAAATCTTGACTTTTCCAAATGATTCACAATTTTTTTTACTTAAATAAATGCTAAAATACTTGAGCATATCCAAACTCATTCAAAAATCTAAAAAAAGACAAATCTCATCAAATTTCTTTTTATGCCTTAGTGCACTTTTCTTTTCAAATCATACCCTTTTTTTTCTGAAAGAAATAATATGAGTCCATTCTCGAAGTGATCACAATTCATATACTTCTACAGTATGCTGAGAAATTAATAGACATTTTCCACTTGAATGTTGAGATATGCTTCTTGAGTAAATTCAAGCAAAATTCTTCATATCAAGATGATACAAATGCTCATTTCCTGATACTTGTGGGGAGTAAGTTGAGTTTTCCACTCGAATATGACAAAATATCTTTTTCACTTAAAATGAAACGACAAACAAAAACACATTTCACAAACAAAAATAAGTGGTTCATATGGAGTACCATAGATGTGAGAGGTGTTAATATCTCCCTCTTACGTAACCAACACACGTACCTAAATCTCTCTTTTGTTTTGGTTTTCAAAACTTTTTGTGGGTTTTTTCCGACCATTTCCCATTTTCTTTTGGAAAAAATAAAGTTCAGTGGTGACTCTTGTTTTTTCTGAGTTAAGTTAATCAATAACTTAATCTCAATTTTTCCGCCACAACAATTGTGTGTGTGAGAGAGATTTTAAAAACCATTGAAAAGATAAAATGAATAGATGAAGAAGATGAAGAAATGAGGAAGATGAGTGTTATTCAAATTAAATTGAAGAAGAAATGAGAAAGATGGCGCCTATAACCTGTGTTCTCCACCGCTGCTATGCTTTACAATGTTCGTGAAATGAAGATTTCAACTAAGAGTAGAATTTTTTAATTAAAAAATGCTCTATTTTTTTCTCTATGTGCTTTTTAAAAGAATCACATATAAAAAATTTAAAAAATTACTGTTGAATTTCATTGCTTTCTTAAACAAAATCCTATGTTGAACGAGAGTGCTTTCTATTAAAAGTTTCTCAATTTTAAGATAATTGATCTTTTTTTTTCTTTAAAAAAAAAAAAGCAGTTGTTTATAAAAATTTATTCTTTTATTGTATTTTGTTAATAGGTTTACATGGCTTTTTCTATGAAAAGACTTAAATGTCTTAAAAGAATTATTTATTAAAATATTAAAAAATAGGGTTGTCCTTTTTCATCTGATTTTTACTGCGTTTTTAACTATTAGAAAAAAATAGTTGAATAAGATTTGAAATTTTTTCTTGAATTCTATATAAAGGAGTTTGTTCATAACGGAAATCATGACAGATTATATAAATTAAAATTACAAGATGATTTTGTCGATCTCAACGCAAATTCAAACACACGCTTAGTAAATAGTTGTTTTTTTTACCTATAACAAATACATAGTGAGCGAAAGATCACGGTAAAGAGTTAACTCATATTTTTTAGGAGTGTTAGTTTTGCTCATATTACCGATGTGAAGACTTCTTTAACGAATAATTTATAAGTACAATTCTATAAACATTCATTGAACTTTGAGATCGTTTGTGATCTCTAGTGAGTTTCTAAGACCTATCTTATCTAAATTTTAATATCATCAAAATATATTCAAAAATAAAAGTAAAGGATCAAATACATGTGTTTTCTATATGGTGGGTATAAACATAAATAAGTGTGATTCATTCACAATTAATTTTATGAGAATCAATTTTTGCAGATAACTATTTGTAGAAAAAACATAGATAAATGTAATGTAAATGGTACAACCCTCAATTGGAAAATATATAAGTGACCAATGGATAACACTTAACAATAACAATTGATTTCTTTATTGTATTCCTAACTTACATTTACAAAGAGATTTAGTACCTCTTTGCAAAGTAGACATAAAGGGAAAAGTTACAAAAATTGATAACACCAAGAAGAGCATAAAAAAGATCTAACCTAGAGTGATTCAAATCTTTTCCACCAAACCATTCCATGCCAAATCTTCCACTAATTGAATTACTCATAGTCACCAACACAGAACTCATAAACATCCCCATAGAGTTTGAACACCAAGATAATGAAGTGCATATACTTCTCATACTTTCAGGTGCTTCTGAGTAAAAAAATTCAAGCATTCCTCCCACCGTAAGTGTTTCAGAGAACCCTAATAAAATATATTGGAATAGTAACCAAAACACAGAAAGTGTATTCTCATTCTTGAATGCTTCAAGCCTTTTAGATTCGATGATTGAAGCCATAAACATTGATATTGATACCAATGTTAATCCTACTCCCATCCTAAAAAGTGGTTGATAAAATTTATTGTTTGTTGTTATGCCTTTATTTTTGTTCATATGTTTGAATTGTTCGAATACGATAATGAATGTAAGCGATATGATGATTGGAACAATTGCTAGAGATTGTGTAGGGATTATAAAACTGTATATCTTTCTATTCATAAGATTTCCTTGTTGTACTGAGAATGTTAAGCTTTGTGCTACGCTACAATTCACCATGATTGTTGTGAGAAAAATTGAGAGAAGTCCTAGGAAGGTTTTTGTTTCCTTAACTTGAGCAACACCAATATTTTCATCCATCAACGCTTCATTCAAAAACCTTGAAAAAAAAGTTACAAACACTAAGTTATACTAGAAATATTTCAATTATGTAACTAAGAAGATGATAAAGAGCTTACTTGAATTTATTTTGAGATTTATCTTTAGGAAGTAATTGTTCTGTGACGTCAAGATTCGAACTGTCATTAGTTGATACCTTTGTATTTCTTATTGAAGCAGCAAGTACCTTGAAACAAAAACGATACAAAATTATTGAATTTAGCATTGAGAAAAACATGTTGCGAAAATATAGATTACCTGAATGATCCGATTCACAGGACTTCCAGCAGGGAGTTTATATCTATAAAATGAAAATCCAGATACAAAAGTGCACAATGCTAAACTTGAAACAAACACCATTATCATAAAACTTGTACTCCATCCATATTTTTGTTCAATTGAAACCATAACACTTGTTGAAAGAAGAGCTCCCGTGCATACACTAAAAAAATACCAACTGAAGTATGAGGAAATGAGACTCTTGTTGGTTTGATCAAGTTGATCAGCTCCATGTGCAGCCAAGGTTGATCTGACTCCACCGATTCCCATGGCTGTACAATAAAGTCCAATGTAAAGATAAAGAGCTTGAATGTATGATGGTGTTTTCTTTTCTGGTGGCTGCAAATTAGGGTTTTGTGCTTGGTATGATAACATGAGTAGTCCCTGAATTTTAAACAAACAAAATATAGAGTAGATTAGAAATGTGCATGGTTAATAATATTTAAGTTTATGTTCAACTTTTTAAATTCAATTTATGATATTTATTTGGATTGATTATAATTTGAATACTATAGATAAAATTTGATATATAAAAATGAGAAAATGAGAATTTTCATACCATAAGTTCTAAGCCACCAGCAAATACAAATACAGTGAATCTTGTTAGATAAGAGTCACTGATAAATCCCCAAATAATGCTGAGCAGAAAAGCTGTTCCGAAGAAGTTGGTAACCATAACTGAAGAATCAGCAACTGAATAATGCATTGACTTGAAAAAATAGTCAACTAAGGTTACTGCATTGCATGAGATGATCAAACTCTGCATTATCTCTACAACTGCACCCATATAAATGGCCATTTCAATAATATCTTTAAAAAAAAACATGTATAATATTTAAAAATCAATTTCATAATAAGAACAAAAGATACAAACATTAACTTACCACATGCAAAGGAAGCAGCTTTTTTTCCACCATGCTTTCTTCGATCTGCTGCCTTGCCTTTGCAATCAGTATAATCACCACTTCCAATATTACTAAGCTCAGGATCCTGTATACATATTTGAAATTACGTAAAAAAAAACAAAAACTTCATACACTACATGATATAATACAATTTAACACTATAGACCTAAATTTAAAAGGAAGAGAAAATCAGAAAAATATACCATGGCTGAATGAAATAGTTATGAAATAATTAATCAAAACAAGTGACTTAATAATATTATATAGCGAGAAAATTCGTGTAGCATACAACTAATTCATCTCTTTTATAGAAGTATTTTTATCCTTTTGTCAAAATAAATAATTAAAAGGTAGATTTTTCAAAATAAATAAACAAATAGATATGATTTTACTAAAGCTGAAGAAAAACTATTTTTGACTATTCTTCAAGTTCATAATGGAAGACCTAATAAGATAAATATCTATAAAAAAATTATTTTGTTCTTCACTAAGAATCTTTAAGATATTCTTCTATAATGATTTGAGATCGAGAGAATTATTTGATTCATCAAGATAGAAATAGTACTCAACATTAAGAAAACTCTTATAAATTTCTTTATTGTTTGTTTGATTTTAGAGGAATTTAACAAACTATAAAGTAAACTTTTGTTAATATATCAAAAGAGATTCTGTTGACTAGAGGGTCGATGTCTAAACACGTGCAACACATGTGATTAAAATAAACTTGAATTTTACCTTAAATAAAGATTTGTCAAAAAAATGTTTTAGTGTAGATTTTAAATTTTGAAGATTAGCTTATATATCCAAGATTTGAATTTTAAAAGTTTATATGAAGTAATGAAATAATATTGATTATTGCTATGAATCTTGTTAAAGTTATTGACCAATAATTATTTCAAATAAGACTCTATATCTTTAACAAAACTTAACAAAACTAATTTAATTAAAAAAAAGGTATGTCATTGATCAATAAAGAAAGATTGATTACATATCAACTTCCTAAGTGGAGAAAAGAAACAATGGGCATCAGAAGTATTCAAGGTTTTAAAATTAAAAAAATTAAGAAGACACATAGTAAATAAAAAAGTTAAAAAATAGAAAATAAGCAACCAAAGAAATAACTTTCAATGGTGAGAACTTAGGAATTCTTTAATTTTTATGTTATGTTATTTATTTTTTTAATTATTAGAGTGTTATGATGTGGAAACATTGTCCTTTAAATTTAAGGGATGAACCTGTTGAAACAATCTCAAAAGTAGATAATTTAATATTAAATATTATTATTTTTGAATCAATTCATGTGAAAAAGAGGTTATTTAAATGTAGTACAAATAAAATAATATATATTGATGGATTCAAATATAGGTTACTTATTTACAATTACCTTGAAATAAATGAGTTGAAATTGCCTAGTTTCAATGTGGCAATTTAGGCTCACAAAATATGACACAAACAACTAAAAATTTTAAGGAGTTGTTTTTCTCACCCTTAGGGATTCACCCCCTTATATAGTGAAAAGTCAAAATTGTTTCTATCGTTTAGAGATGTATTTTTGAACGCACTTTTTTCAAACATTCTTTCAGTGCAAATGGATGAGCCACTGTTATATTTCTAAAATTTAATCAGGAGATAGATCATCGTATACCATAAGAAGTGAGTCCGGATATACAACTCATAAACACTAGTTGGTTATGTTTGGTGTTATTGTTTTTGTATTTTTAAAATAAAATATGTATGATTGGTACATTTTGATTTTAATTTAATTAATGTGTGACTTTTTACCCTTGAAATCATTATGGGATTTTTGGAGATTCGTCTTCAAAATATCCTCGGTGAGCAATAAAAACATTTTCAATATCTTTTAAATGACTTCAGAGGATACTTCGGAGATACATCTCCAGATATAACTCATAAAATTTAAGGAGGTGCATTTTTGAACTAGATTTTGAAAAAAAAAAAAATGGAATGTGTGACTGAATTATGAGGACTTGTGTGATTTGATGTGTGTTCGAAGATATATCTTTAGATAAAAGAATGACATTTTAGGTTTTCTAAAGGTGTTTGGCACACCCCATGGAATGGAAAGAGCATCCCCAAATTTTCTTCCATTGAACACAACAAGAAAATTGACATGTAGTGGCGGATTTTCCTTCAATTGAACACTACAAGAAAATTGACATGTAGTGACGGACAAAATCCATTACTACATGCTATTTTGCTGTAGGTAAAACCCAAAATTTAAATCACTGACACATACCTTTACCTACAGTTCTATTTGCTGTCACTATTTCTCTCAAAAGTTTTTTTTAACTACTACAGATGGCCATAGATAAAAGTGGTATTATGAAAAAAAATTACATTTTTTCATTGCAAATCCTGTATTTTTTTCCTCAATTATAAATAAATTTTTAATTAGTAATTAAAATAATTAATAGCAATCACATCCATATTGTATTGTTTAAGACAATATGTATCAATATTGACAATTCATAAAGTAAGATTTAAACACATTTGTTTATGATATATTTATGTAATTATTTATTAGAATAAAGAAAGTTATGTTTGAAGTAACTTAATAGATGAATATCAACTATACATAAACAAATATTTTACTATGAAGAGTATTGCTAATATGAGGTTACACACATCAAACCAAATCATGAAGGTTTTGATTTTGTATCCTATTTTAGGCTTTAAGTTGTTCATTTCATAAAAATAGTATTGCTCACCACTTATATTTTCTTCAATTACTTTTGCAATTGATTCTTACAAACTCATTTCGTAGGAGTTTAAAGTCAACTCTATGAGTTCCATTTACAAATAGAGACACAAACAAAAAAAATATTAATATGTTAACTTGATTAAGGTAGTTTTACGAAACACTGCAGAAAAACATATTCTTAATTAAGAGCGTTACATCACAACAAAAAATTAGGTTCAAAATTCACGCAACCAAACCTTATTAATCAGATATTAACGAAAGCTATTTAAATTGATAGCCTACTGCATGGTCAATTTCTTGGATAGCGTAAGTTTTACTTGACATGTACATATTGGCCAAGACTGTCATGGTCTACATCCAATCTATTTTATATTTGTAGATTATTAGAACTAAATTATAACTACTATCTTCGTATGTTATTACATATACCTATTTCTTACAACAGTAACAAAAATCATTGACACCTAAATTTGAAAAAATGTGAAAGCATTTGTCACATTGGTGTAGTAAGAGCACTTTTACCTTTAGTGTTTACAATTTTTCATAACATGATACCCCGCAAATACTTTTAACAATGTATGAGCTCAGAGTTGCAAGCGCACTTTTCCATTCCATTGTCATTCTAGGAGTTTCACATAATCTCTGCTTTGAAAAATAAAATAAGTTATCTTGAATGTATAAAACATATTTTACAAATAGCATTGCGAAGTTCAACTAACAAGATGTAACCAACAAAGGACAGGCCACTTGGCTCTTTCAGCCAAAATTTATTTCCCATGTCTCTGTTATATCATAATCAATTTTCATAATAACGGTTTTTCAAATGAAATGAATGAAACATTTACCTCTCAATTTTCTCACATCTTAAACTAGTTAATTTAGATTTCTCATAGAGAGAATCTTTGAGAGGATTCTATGATCTCAGATTGAGTTCAATTCTGTTTTGAATGAAATGAATTAATGCTACAAGATCTAATGATGATCATTCTCTTATATAGAGCTCTAAACTAGTTAGGGGGTATGAATCTGTTTTGATAATTAAAACGTTAGTTATAATATATTTCATCAACTAACAGAACGTTAGTTCAGACCATGGATAACTAAATGTTTGTTGGGTCGGTTTACATAACATTACTTTACCATCCATTCCAAATATTATGTCAAATCTCTAAACTCTCAACCACTACTCTAAAGTCTCAAAATAATAAACATGTCAACAAAAATCTCATCAATAAGTTATGTATATTTTTATATTCACATTCAATGTTTTGAACTGCTAATTTCTTCTCCCTTTTGTGTTAAAAACTTTCATAAGACAATTCACTGTTTGTGAAAAGTGATATAAATAGAGAGCAAACCTCATTAAATGAGTATCATAAAGCTTTCTGAGTAACAAGTGATCATGATGCGCCTTGTATGAATGTTCAAACATCTCCGCAAAAGTGGTAACGTCTTCCCAAGCCAAACTCATCACTGAAATGAACTAGTGGTTGTGGACCTCATAATTTACATGATTCAACACCTATTATTCATATTCATAGAATTACTTCAACAATTATATTCACTATCTCATTTCAAGATTACAAATTATGTAAAATTGAAAATTCATTCCTAGAGGTGTAATACCGTACAAACCTAAGTATTCCTATACAAGGATCACAAATTATAATAGACATTCTCACTATACAAGTTATCAATCACACTTGTTCACTTATCTTCGACTTGAGAGATATCATGACAAGGAGGGCAGTGAGGGTGAATCCTCAATTCAAATCTCACAAAAGATTTGTTAAAGCATTTCCAATATATATTGCACCAATAATGCTTCAATAGTTATTAATATCATTCGCCAAAGTTTGGAATCCATATTAGATACTGAATTAACAAACAATTGTTCTCAAATAGAAATGTTATAGCGTATTGGAATTTTAACAAACACCTTCAGGGCAATTAAGACAACTTATCAATCAAAATACTGTACAAATTAAAACATAACCTAACAGTGACATGTTATATGACTTGAGGAGAACTAAGTGCAGGTAACAATGTAACAACCTAATAAGATATAATCTTTCAACCACTTAAGCAGCTACAAAGAAAAGAGTAAAATAAATAACCAGAAGTCTTACTGTATATGAAAAACTAAAATCATATTTTGACCATGAGAGAACTTTGTTATCACATAAGAAACCCATACTCCCAGCATGACGCCTCATTTCCTAGACAGTCGGTATAAAATGGTAATAGGTTCAGTTATAAATTTGGTGAAATTTAACAGTGGTGAGTGTTGTTCAATATCAGCTTAGTGGTGTTGTAGTACTATAATGTAGTGGAATGTGAAAATACGTAGCGAAAATTGAACAAAAATCCACTTTCTGCAATTCATCAGTGACAAGACTGCGGTGGTCCTATATATGAAAATCTAACCAAATATAAGCCTATAGAGACAATTCATTAGTGCCTATTGAATAACTCAACAGTTTTTATCGAATCCCATCTATAAAATGTTTGGAACCAAATTGTCCAAAATATCTTCCACTCTAACATTGTAAGCCATTTTACTTGTGATGTCATAAAAGTGTAGATGTTTTACATGAACATCGTAAGTATCACTCAATAACACGAGTCGCTCAAAAAATCAACATAGTAGCACCATAACCAACTTTTCCTTAGGAACTAGTAGCACCATCACTTCGATAAACTCCATCAGATTATTGATATAGCTCCTGCATAGATGTGGCTATATCTTCGGAGACATATCTAGCCAATGTCTATCCAATTTATCCTACCCTCCAGCCATAGATAAAGTGTAGTAACTATAATTAGGTTCAATGCGAGATGTTGATGACAAAGTATGCGGGGGAGAACCAGGAAAGTTGAGCTTGTAATGAAGAAGAAGTCCTTGACATGTAACAAAAAAGTTGTCTGAGTCTGCAAGTAATCTGGCCAGTAATTCTTTGTCACGAGAAGTCCCAAAAGGTCTCCACCTCATTTTATTGTCACTTTTAGGAGCTCTACCCTCATAAGGAGTTAGAGAATGTGGGACCTTCGGATAGTCGCAGAAAGTACTCTTGCATGATAGGGCATGTTTAAGTAAAGCATAATTGCGTAAAAAAAGCATAAATAAACTTGTGCGGTTTTAACTCGTATGAGCCACCAACAAAAAGTCTTTGACAATTTCACGAATTTTCTTTAAGCTAGCTTGTAGTGTTACAACAACTTTATATTGAAAACAAGTTAAACCAAAGAAGCAACATATAAACCAGCCTAAGAAATTACAGAAACTGAATATAACAATTCTAAACTTACAGCTTCAGGGTCAACGTGATGAAACAAGGGCTTTCTCCGTGCTCTATAGCCGATTCTGTAAGCAACAATAGTAATGGCCAAGGGAAAACACAACAGATGAAAGAGGCATTCCCCGTGATTTCTTCAAATGAAGTCTCTGCCTTTTTAAAGAAGCTACTAAAGCTTCAACTTCAATATGGGAATTTACAGTGAAAACACAAGCTTTGACTGAAAGGAGAACAATTGAGGAAAAAGAACAGTCTTAGTTCCAAGAAAAGAAGTGTGTGAAAGAGCAGGTCCATCACAAATGGAATAAACACCCGTAATTAACTGAGAAAAATAACCCAACATCAAAATTAATAATAATCACATGGATTTTCACTATTATTTCTTTCTACACATTGTATCCATGGAATTCATTCAACATGATTACCACATACTAACAAGGTTTCGATAAACGGTCTACGACCTCGAAAATGGCAACGACAAAAAGATATAAGCAGTTTCCAGCGATCCTGATACGGTTATCACCATTTTATATTAATTCAGACTGCGACGACCATAATTTGTGTCGTGACACATGTACTGACCTAAATAAACAATATCTTCGCAACCGTGACCGCTTTTTAAACCTTGGATACTGATACTTTAATTCAACCCTAAGATGAAATATATATAATTCTTTTCAACTATTAATGAGAAATAAAAAATAATCTAAAACTTAAGCAACCGAACAAGTGAAA